GCTGGAAATCTGGAATTTTTGTTTCAGCATTTAGAAATAAGTTATTTAAGCAATCCTCAGACTCGTAGTTTATGCTGGAACTACCTTCAGACACACAGCTACAGATGGGGATTTCCAAGGCTACACTCCATAGGAAAAACTCTTCATGAAGTCAGTGGGACCCTCTCATGGGAGAGTTTTAAGACCCACAATCAAAAAGGTGGGGAAACTAAATTAGAGTGGAAGGAGGGCAGGAGAAGGTCAAGGACTTTCCTGGAGGCCTAACACACCCAACATTATTACCCTGGATGAAAACCAATACATATCCTAACACTACACACTCTCTTCAATGTTTAACCGACAAAATGAAATGTATTCAAAGCTAAACTTCCAGAATTCTGCTTTACACTATTAATAATGTTTTAATATCCCTCAATGTGTTGATACTAGGGCATTATTAAATACGAATACCATTTTCTGGTTATATATGAAAAATATCTTGATTTCTGAGATACGAAAATGCTCATTTTTAGATATGCATGTTCTTGCACTTTTTTTTTTTTATAAAATAAGGTGAAAAGACAGGAAAAATGTTTTCAGATCATGGAACTTGGATTAAGTCATACAAATTTATTTAACATTTATATATGGGAGCCTTCAGAATGAAGACCCACCCAACAGTAAGACAAAAAAGCTTATATACCATTCTGAGGCCAGGAAAGAATGCAGATGTGGCTGGCCAAAAAATCCCGGATTTGGTGGGTAAGTCAGGTTTAATGGCAAGACAGATTAGGGAAGAGAAAGGGAAGAAGCTTGCCTTCTGTGTAGCTAAGGAGACCTTGTTATGTAGATGAGGACTCCCTCATAGAGCATAGGTGGGAAATGCTGCTTTTCAGACTTTTATTTAGAATTTTAAATAATAGGGACAGGATTATGCTATGTGTCCCAGGCTGTTCTCTAATTCTTTTTCTCAAGCAGTCCTCCCAGCTCAGTCTCCAAAAGTGCTAGGATTACAAGCATGAGCCACCATGCCCAGGGAGTTTTGTGGGATTTTTTAATTTTATTTATTTATTTTTTTGAGACTGTGTCTTGCTGAAGTTAGTACGTCAGCATACTAACACATTAACTGCAGAGCTGTGTCCCAGTCCTTTCTAATAATTCTGCATATTGGTATCAAACGATGGGCTAAGTGTCAGATAATGCTCTCCAATAATCTGAAGACCAACAAATGTCTGGATTTCTTTTTCCTTTTTGTTTTTTAAGAGACATAGTATGGCTCTGTTTCCCAGGCTGGAGTGCAGTGGTGGGATCATAGCTCACTGCAGAAACTCCTGGGCTCAAGGGATTCTCCTGCCTCAGCCTCCCGAGTAGCTGGGAATAAAGGCACATGCCACCATGCTGACTGTTTTTAAATTTTTTGTACAGATGGAGTTTCACTCTATTGCCCAGGCTGTTCTTGAATGCCCAGGCTCAAGTGATCCCCCAACCTTAGCCTCCGAAAGTGCTGAGATTACAGTCATGAACCAATGCACCCCGCCCTGAAAAGGAAATATTTCGAAGGGAAATTCAAAGGGAAAATATCTAATGTTCAAGTTGTTATCTATAGAGCAGTTAACAGGAACTATCATTTAGGGTCTAAGGGGTTCTAGGACACTAGGTATGAAGCAAATATGAGGAACGTCAGAGAACAAGCTGACCCAATGATTATTGCTGGAGGTGCTGCAAGCTTGGTTAAAGTTTTCCTCCTCCCTTCCTCCCTGATGAATCTGATAAAGTTTAAAGGGATGGTTTTACCAGGGCCCTTTCCATTGACTGCAAGGAGGCCATCTCTCCTGGTAAATCCTCAATAGTCCAAGCCTCTTATGTGGCTGGAATGATCCAGTCCATAAGGAAATGTCACCACCTGCTGTGTTTTGCACTTAGATCATCAAACGGGGTCAGCGTTTCCCCAGGGAGTTTGGTAGGATTTTTATTTTATTTTGTTTGTTTGTTTTGAGACAGTGCCTGGCTGAAGTGCAGTACCCATTTACAGCTCACAGCAGCCTCAAACTTTGGGGCTCAAGTGACCGTCCTGTCTCAGCCTCCTGAGTAGCTGAGACTGTAGGTACACACACTTCTCCTGGGTAATTTTAAAAATTTCATGGAGATGGGAGGGTCCCACTTCACTGCTCAGGGTGGTCTCCAACCTCTGGCTTCAAGTGATCCTCCCACTTTGGCCTCCCAAAATGTTGGGTTTACAGGCATGATCCACAGCACTGGGCCTCCCAGGCTGTTGTCGAAAGGTCTTTGCAATCTCTTCTGCAGCAGTCTGTTCCCTGACAGTGAGAGTCTCATCCTGTGACCCCATTTTGCAGCAGTAGTTGAGTGTTCACTTTTCTTTCCATAAGGGGGCGAGCTTGCCAGTGACCCTCATCCCCCCCTCATCGATGACTTCTTTGTCATCAGAGCTTTCCTCTTCATAAATTCCCACGGAATCCAAGTTTTCACGTTCCAATCGGGCTTAG